CTGTAAGGAGAAGAGGTCTCATCAATTCCCTGTACCCACGGCAGACCTGACATGATGTGATGGTTGAAACTGCAGCAAGGGAGGTCCAGGTTAGGTGTTGGTTGGCCTTACTTTGAGTTGGGGTTGGAGCAGACACCTGCAGAGGTCCTTTCCAGCTTCAGTTATTCTACAGTTCTGTGTTAGGAAACAACTTCTCAGCAATGAGGATGGCCATGTAGTGGAGAAGCGAGGTGCTTGAATTGTCACCTCTGGAAGTTTTTAAGCTGGAGGTGAGGCAAGCGCTTGTCAGAAGTGGCTCTGGTAGAGCTGATGCTGTTTGGAGGTATGAAAGCGGACTGTGCTCCTGAGGTCTCTTCTGGTTTTGGCTTTGAAGAACAGCAGGTCCTACTTTTCAGCACCGAGCCCTGAGGGCATCAGGCTATGTATACTCCATTCCTGCTTGGAGGAGCTTGAGATATACAGACACCTGGCATCAGATAAGATAGGGAAACCTGTGAGGCTGAATGATTTCATCAAGAAAAATGTCCTTCCCCATGTTCACCCTCCTGGCTTGTGGGTTTTCCAGAGAGGGAAGGAAGAAATTCTGTGGGTGACTCATGGCTTCCATCTAAAAGCCCCAATAATGCTGTGCTGAATCACTGAGCAAACACAGGCAGAGCTGCAAACAATACCCAGAAATATCGGCCTCCTTCCTCTGTTCCCATTTCGGGGGCTTATTACTAAATCTAAGCCAGGGGCTCTCAGCTCTTTTTAGGGAGGTGTGTTTAACAGCAGGCACATATCACCGGCCAGATCTCTTCCTCTTTGCCCCGAGTCTTTGTATGTGAAGCGGTGATGGGGGGCCTGTAGCTTCTTGCAGCTTCTTGCTTCTGTGGGATTCCCGTGGGCTGAGCGTGACTGAATGGCTGCAGTCCTGGGGATGAGAAATGCCTCACACCCCGCTGGCATCAAAAAGGGATTACTGCTCCCCTGCCTAATGCGTTTGTTTAGTGCCCATTCCATGAGGCTGCTTCTTGTGCTGTTTTCCTTGCAGGATATGACTCCGTGTGTGTAATTAGCCAAGAGACATTAGCTTAACGACTTGTGCGTGTCTGAATTAGGCCCAGCCCCATCTCAGACTGCTGCCTTCTCCCTCACCTTTCTCCTGTCTGGAGATTTCGAATTCTCTCAGAGCCGCACAAACTGCTCTGTCATCCTCATCCCAGGGGGCTGGATGCAGACAGTGCCTCTTGCTGGTCCCCAGCCAAATAAACCCTGCTATCACACATAATTATCTCCTTGACTCATCACAACTTTTATTGCCGCCATCCCCCCCCCTTTATTTTTACAAGTTTGATTTGCTCTTTCAAAGCTATTGTTTCCAGCTCTGTATTCCCAGTGGCTCCGGAGGACTGCAGTGTATCCATGCAGGCATTACTGGGGCGGGCTCTGTGGTCTGTTTTGTGCAAGAGTTCAGACTGAACGATCGTTTTGGTCTCTTCTGGCTGGTTTCTGAGCTGTGGGGTTAGGCTGAGGGAGAGAAGTATCTGGCCAGCGGGCTGCACTGGTCGGGAAGCGGTGCTGGAGCAGTCCTTCACTGAAATGTAGGCCTCATTTTGAGGCCAAGGTCTTGATCACCTCAAGCTGTCCACAGCTGCTCGCTGAGGGGTGGCTTAGGTAAGGTGACATAGACACTGCTAAGCTGATTTCTAGGCTGAATTTGGCCATTTTCAGCTGCTATACCAGGGACTGCGTTGTGTCTCTCTCTGGAAGGCTCAAGATCTCCCTGTTGTTACCACTTCTCTTCTCCACAAGCATACACAGCCTCAGCCAAGCGACCCTGGGGTTGTGTCACTGACAGGCTGAGAGTCTCCCAAACACCCTGAGACTTGAAGTTACATCTCTGAACCTGTCCTCCCTCTGTCTTTTGTTCTCAGTCATTTTCTTTCCTGTACACTCCAGCACCAGTTCCAAAACTCAGCCCCACAAACGTGTCTGCAAAGGGCACTGATAAAAGCCAGGCTTCCCTTTCCCCATTCCTGGCTGGACTGGAGCTTGTGCTGACTCAGCTACTCAGCTTCGCCTCTGAGCACAAATGAATTAAGCTTCTAGAGCCATCAGTGTGGAAATGTTTGCAGTGGCCAGACCAGCATGACGACATCTATGGAAAGAAAGGAAAGAAAATCCAGGTGTTTTGTGGGCTTGCCTGTGTAAAAACAGGGTCGGACAGCTCATCTGAACTAGCCATTGTCTGCTTAATGCCACCTCTGGCCCTTCCCTTAAATGTAGGGGCAAGAAGGCTGATGAGTATTTTGGATGCCAATAAACCACTTTACCTGCGTCAACATTATCTGAGGTTTTGCAAAGTTCTGGCCTCATGAGAGGTGTCACTGGGCCTTCGGAAGAGGCAATACCCTCCGCAGTTCCTCCTTTTCATGCTTCCCTTCCTAAAGTCAAGGACATTGAAGTCACCATCTGCAGTTCAGTGAGGAGAGACCTGTACTTGCTCCCTTGAAGGGAGCAGAGGAAAGAAGGGTCATGGGGGAAGATTTGCTTCAAGGCTTTCTCTTAGGGTAGTTTGTGTATGCCGAGGAGCCAGCTGTGTTTCAGAAGGTGGTCTGAGATCCAGTCTGAAGCAACAAAAAGATAAGTGACAAGTTCATATCTTTTATTTCCTCACCAATTTTCACTTCTAAGGTAGATTTGGTAAAACATCAGCTTCAGGCTTGACACCAGGAGGAACAATCTGAATTAATTTACCTAGTCCTCTTTTAAAATCTCTGAGATCTACCAGTTTATTGTTATCCTGGGAAGCACTGTGACATTTCTCTTATTGCTGACTATATTGTTCCTATTAAAGAGTGTCAATCATTCGATGCAGCTAGATATAAATCAAATGCATTCCTTTCATTGATGCAATTAGTGAACAGAAGGCGTGGGGGAATTGTAAAGCTGTTGAATTCTGCAAATTAAGGCCTTCAACAGCAGCAACAAACCCCTGACTATAATGAAAAGAGCAAAGACGTGTCAATCTTGTTTAGTTACCTGGTTGGAGGATGCAGGTTCCCTTACTGACAGTTTCAGAGTGTGACAGGGTAAGAATTTCAGATCCAGTAGCTCCTGTGGAACTGAACCCATATGAACTATCTCAACTGACATGCTCCTAAATTTCTCTCAGGAATTGTTTATCTAAGATGAAAACCAGTCCTTTTTGTGAAATTGAGCATTTTAGCCAGGCACATCTCTTTCTGATGATTTTTTTTCCTAGATTTTTCATGGGAAAATGACAAAAAAAAAAAAAGAAGAAAGAAACCAAAACAACAACACAAAAACAACCCAGGGTTATTATTATTTTTTTAAAGATAAATTTATAGGTCTTTGCTGAAAACTGTGGATGCTTTGTTTCTTCATCCTAAACCTGAGAAACATTCAAAGTAGGCCAATGAAAACAACATTTGTTTTATCAGGAAGAGCAACAACATTTTAATAATCATTCTTCCCAGCCAGCTTGGCTGATTGCTCATTAAACCACTGTTAAAAGCCCTAGAGAGGAACAAAATCTCTGTGCTTAGGTGGCACCAAAGCCAGCTGCTTGGAAGGTCCCACTTGTACAGCTGGGTGACGGTGCCACAGCCGAGCTGGCCAGCCTGACTCCTTTAGCTGCACACTCCTGTGATTAAGTCTTGGGGTTTTGGGCCCTGATGAATTCCATTGCACCGTGTGTGACCCCAGTTTGTGCAAAGGTCTTGGTTCTTCCAGACCTCTAAGGGAAAGGAGTTTGGGGAGGGCTGTCCTGGGAGACAGGCAGGGAAGCTGCCAGGAGCACGTGGAGCAAGGACTGGACTCTGGTCCTCATCTGCTCTGTGCATCTTCCTCCCCCAAAGGGCATCAAGGGTAACCCCTGGACACACCTCTCAGGGCTTGGTTTTCCCCAGGCACGTGGGCTTGGGTTCACTGCTGCTGGCTTTGCTTGCAGGCTCTCCCTGACCTGTGGAGTGAACTATTCCCAATAAAAAAATGTAAACAAATCCCATGACAAGCACCTTTATGTCTTTTCCCCTTCCTGACCTTGAGGACAAAACTCCATTTAAGCCTACAGTCATCAGCAAATGGTTAAGATTGTGTCAAAAGCAGGGTTTATCGTTTTTGTTAGTTTTAATGGACAAAGCAGCCCAATCTCTCTGCATTCAGAGCCTTACTCTGAAGCTTCACAGGTGTCAGACAGGGCAGGCCGAGCCTGTGTTGTGCCTGGCCTCACTGCTGCGACGGTGTTTTGGGCTGCCAGTGAAGGAGTGAGAAGGTCAGATGAACACAAATGCATCCGTTCACATGTAATTCCTCATCCCACAGACACTGGGGCCAGGTCACCCTGCTGCTGGTGGGTGTTCTCCACGGGGCTCAGAGGGATGGAAAGGGTAAAAGGGGTGCCCGGGCTGCACTGAGCCAGGGACGGAGGCCAGGCTGTCACATGCACAGGTCTCCAGGGCTTTAACCTCCAGACCACAGCGCTCAGCTCCTTCTGAAAAAGGACAAAGCTGCTCAGCAAAACTGTGGAACTGGGAGGCTTGCGGGCTGAAATGAGTCCAAAAGACATATTAACAAGCATGAGAGGCCTGTGATGAAATAGCTAAGGTATTAATGCAGCCAGAGGCTGGTAATGAATACAAGAAATGCCCACGTTTACCCAAGAAGTCCCAAAGGTCTCTTTGCCCAGAACATTGTGATCCTTAAAGGAATATTTTAAAGTTACACTGCAGGATTAGGGATCTAGGAACAAAATCTGAGCTAATGTGGTTTCTTGGCTGCTCTGACCTCTTGGCTGATGAGACCCCATTATGAGCCTTATGCTGTTTGTTATCCTCTGGGATTTATCACCAGGGGCCACTCTGAGGCCTGTCAGATGTAGGTGCCCCCCGGTCCCTGTGGACTGCATGAGTCTCTCACTGTGCCCTATGGATGTGACGGAGGTACCAAAGCACGATTCTCTCTCTTTTTTTTTTTTTTTTTTTTTTGTTTTTCAGATGAGACCCTATCATCCAGTGGCAGAGAGGATCCTGAATGCTCAGATATAACCTGGTGACATACAAAATGCCTTCCAATACTCCCGTCTCTCCCCATCTCTCAGCAGCTGGAGGAAATCCATGCATGCGGAGCATGGGCCAGCACAGGCTGAAATACCACCACCATGTTTCACCTGCACTGCTTTTCCTTGATGCTTTTCCATTATTTCTCTAGTGTTCAGCAGCCATGGAAATGACCCGTTGGTGCTGAGCAGAGCTGGGCTGCAAGGAGAAGATGGGAGCTGGAGGATGGTGAGTGCAGGCACTTGTTAATGGCTGAGCACCGCTGTTTTCGGCTACGATACAAACACCATGGTGGTGAGAAAACTAAAACAGGTTTGATGGATCTTCCTCTAAAGTTAATTCCAAACTAGTGCCCATCTGGCCTGCTTTTTGGAGAGCTGAACCCAGCTTTTAGGAGTAACTCAATGAAGTCTTGCACTTTTTTGACCCGTTCAAGGGAGACAGTCCCATTCTTGGTGTGGGAAGGTCCTGTCTGCCCCTGAGGCTGCGCCCACACTGCTCAACCCAGGGCTGGGGCTCCTTTAGCCTTTCTGTCCCTGAGTAATTGCTCTTTATTTATTTATTTATTTATTTATTTATTTATTATCATTTAAAAAAATATATCTCCTTTTTCCCGTTCATGTTGCCCCAGTGAAGAAGAGCTGGTGAGAGGAGGCCTCACCTGGTGCTGGAGTGCTTGGCATGAAAACAACAATACGCTGTTGTTATTTAGTGCACCTGATGTGATAGTCCTTACAGCCGTTCTTCGCTTCAATCGTTTACAAGCCCTGATTTTAGTCCAAAACAAGCTTCCTTGAAATAAAATAATCATTTTCCAGTCTTCCTGTAGAAGCCAAAAGTATTTTAAGTTGGCCTGGTCTGGCCTAAACACAAGGTGGGGAGGGGGTTGGTATGTTGGGGACATTTTAGTAATGAGAGGAAGAATGTGAAAGGAAGGATTAAACCTGGTGTTTTATGTGTATTCATTGAGTCAATTTATAAGGTGCCTTTTGCAAAATATCTTGAGCGCTGCATGAAAAACCACAAAGCAAAATATTTGAAAAATCTGGACGCAAAGCCAACATGTCCCAGAGTACAGCCAGGCAGCGGAGGAGAACCTGGCACCAGGCGAAGTTCTCTAACCACTGGGCACCAGCAGAAGGACATCCGTGGCTGTGGGGCGAGGTGAGCCACAAAGGGAAGGATCTGCTCCTGAAAGCCAGCCAGGAGGGTCTCTGCGGGCAGACAGGTGGCAAGAACAGGGCCCTGTGTGAAGGACAGGGCGGCTCAGGCTGATGTTTCTCCTCCAAGCAGTGCTGGGGTGAAGGACTCTCTGGAGATGGGATGACCCCAGCTGAGCTGGGAGGCCTGGAGGTGACCCACTGCAAGCCCAGATGGTTCGCAAGTGGCCTCCTGATGAAGGATGTGCCAGGGAGGACAACCCATGCTCCCCCCACTGCACTGCATCTTCCCCGGCACTGCTGCCTCTGGCCCGGTTTCAGCGAGAGGCCAATTAGCAGCCCGTTACAGTAATTTCACCTGGCCACGGCGCAGGCACAGCTGTTCGTGGCAAGGCGTGCGTTACGGGATTTTCTCGCTCGCAGCTGAAGGTCAGGGCGAGTGTTGACTCTGGCAGGCCGCGGCCCTGACGGCCTCTTCCAGCTGGATGCGCGGAGCCTCCCCCCGCAGCCGGCGGCTCGGGGCTCTGCTCAGCCCTGCCATAGGGCTGCCACACAGCTTGGCCACGCTCCCCGACCCTTTGGGAAGCACACAAGACCCCGGCATGGCGAGGAGCACGGGCAGGACCACGGTTAAGGAGAGCACTTGGCAGTCACAGGTGGCTGGGTGGACTCCGAAATGGCCCTCGGGGCAGGCACGTGACAAATATTCTGCTGAGGATTTGGCTGAGGTAAAGACCTCAGGACAAAGTTGCAGGGCCTTAATCACGTCCCTTTCTCGATGTATTTTAAGGGTGACAAGGAACTGAAAAGGAGCAGGGAAGAAAAATGGCCACGCTGCGAGCTTTAAGTGACACAAGCCACGTTTTTTAGCATCTGTGGCATAGTTAATTTCCTGATGCAGCATTTCTTCTGAAAACAGTTTGCTGTAATAAAAGTGAAGGGACACCTTGCCCGGGGGGACAGTGATAAATCTGCTGCACGCAAGGACATTAATCTGCTGTACCAGGGACCTGCTGTGGCTCAGGCTGGGAGACATGAGTGAGATCAAGCAAACATCGTGAATGGGATGGGCTTCATCGCTCCCTTCCCTACTGTCAACCACTTGCCTCTCTTCCAACAAGGAGGAGAGCAAAACGCTTAGAAAACAAGAAAAACAGCTTGTAAAACTACATCTGTTTGCAGTGAGGCCCCAGATAGGACCAGAGTCTGTTTTTAGCTCTTGTTTTTGTCAACTGACTGGAGCTCAAGCTGACAAAGTATCCCCTTGGTTCTTTAGGACACTTGCTAAAAACACTAAGGCTTCAGGCAATCTCTGCTGGGGAAAGGGGTTTGGGATAGGTATCCCTTGAGAATGGTCCATGCTCTTTAATGTTGCCTTCCCAGTGGGGAGGAAGACCTTGTTGAAGCCAGAGATACTCTACATGTCATCCATTTTCCTGATGCACGATCTGCTTGTCCATCCATCTGTCCCAGTCTTGGAAGAGAGGTGGTGATAAGAATTATGAGTCCCTGTCTTTGTGGGGACCCTGACTGAGAAGCACGGGGCAGCGGCACCCACATGGTGTGAGAAAGGCAGCACCACCTGGCTTTCTGTCGCTTGGCTTTCAGGTAATATTTAGAGACCGTCCTTGCCTCGAGGACTTTATTAGCCAAGAGCAGAGCTGATTTACAGCCTGATTTCTTTAGAAGCGTTTGTGTGCCCAGAGCAGAGCGATACTTGTGTGGAAGATGTTAGACTAGGGGCTGATACTTGGCACTGCTGCAAAGCATTGCCGCAGGAGCTGGTTTGCATGCAGGAGGATTTGACCTTGAACTTTCTCCTGCAGTTCAAGCCAACATCCTCTACCCCCTAGGCCTGAAAAATGTTCCTCCCCCTTGTTTTAAAAATACATTTGTTATGTCTAATATCTCTGGCCAGAGCAGTGCTACAGACTTTTACCCGCAGAGCTATGTGGGTCAGGGGTGGGGGGTGATGTGATTTCTGAGTGGCTCTAGCTGGGCTCACTGAAGTCCCCAGTGCACTTACACCAGCAGAGCTGTACTGCTCTGGGGACAGCTTACTGCGGTCACAGGGACGGTGGGTTTACTGTCCCAGTGTGCAGCACAGCCCTGAGAGGCTTCCTGGGCTCACGCTAGGCTGCAGCAACCCCAGGCTAGCTGTGACATCCACACTGCTTGTTTAAGAGTGGGTTTGAAAACTGGCTGAGATACCCAGAGCTTGGACCTGCTCTGGTTCAAAGGACCTGCCAAGGAGCTCAGGCTCTGGCTGTCTGTCCAGCACCGGAGCAGTGCCTTGGACCCACCCAGAGCATGGGAAGCAAGCCTTGTATTTGAGCTGCAGGGCTCCAGACTTCACGCAGGGCATGTGTTCATGCCTGACTAACATAGTGCTTCATGACATTCACTGTGCTTTTGCCCTTTTTGGAGTCAGTACTTACTGTGTCTGTTGGCAAAATGTGTGTTATAGCACCCTTTGTCCTCATGTGAGAGGTTACTGTCACACTGGAAGGGGGGCATCTACTTGCTTTTCAGGGAGAAAAGTGGGTGTAGGGGGTAACTGTGGCAATTTTGCAAGCAGCAGTGTTGGGTATAGGAAGCCACACAGTCATGTCCTTTCTCAGCCACTCCAGGGTGGGTTCTCCAATGAATTCCCAGCAGTGGGGGATCTGCGAGGTGTCCTGAGAAAGAGAAAAGCTCCACCTGCCTGGGAGGGTGCAGGTGAAAGAGCAGGTGTCACAGTGCCACGTGGATCTTGCTATCAAATCTCTCCAGGTGCTTCTCATCACTGCTGGTTTTGCTGTGCCTGGAGAAGCTGATGTTTTCCCACAGGCCACCATTTAAACCTCGTTGGAGCCCTCGTGCAGGCTGCTGCTGTTGTCGGTGCACAGGAATCCTTGCTGGCTTCTGCGCAGCTCCATGCCCTGACCTGTCCCGTGAAATTAAGAGATGCAGAAGCTATTCCTAGGAGATCCTTTGTGTCCGTGTTTTTCTGGGTAGGGCTGGCCCACAAAAAGCCATTGGGATGGGGCTTGTTTCTGCAGTGGCTAAGTGGCTGGAAGAGTTTGAAAGCTGCATTATCTTCCCATCTCATCAGCTGTGCCCTTGTCGCTCCTCTGTTCGACTCCCCCAGCAGAGGCATGTCCCCGGAGCATGGTGTAGCATGGGACAGGCACCTGGGCATGGCCAAACACCCTCATGAAGGCAAAAGCGAGCAGACAGCTGCTGCCCATCTCTCCCTGTGACACTGTATTGAGCCACTGCCCTTAGTAGTGCTGCTCCGGTAAAACCCACCGTGACTGGGAGCTCCACTGGCCCCATACTGGTGCTGGGCTTCCCATTCTCTCTGGCACCTCCTGATTATTCTGGTGTGAACACTGCCCAAGCTGCTGGAAGGCTGGCTTCTTGCTGAGCATTGCAGGAGGAAGCAGGGAGTCCATGGCTGGGCTTTGCCGAGATGGCACTTTTGTGCCCCTTCCACTGAGCCCCTCTCTGCTGGCATTTCCTGGCTTACATGGCATTAGAAAGCAGCCCTTAATTCCTTTAGGGGCATAGATCTCCAAATCTTGAGAACCTTAACTAGAAAAATCTTGTCTCATTTTGATGCTGTGCAATTCAGAGGGTTACAAGTGGAAAGACAAAGTTTTTTTTTTTTTTTTTTTTTTTTTTTTTTTTTTTTTTTTTTTTAACTTACCCTCCACAGCTTTCTATATCCATTGCAGTTTCTAGCTCTGCTATACCTCATGCGTTCAATTTTTCCCTACACCCTCGCCCTCCAGCTACCAGTGCATGCAGCCCTGCAGAAATTTGGTGTTGCACGGGGCAGGAGCCGCCTTTAACCCGGGTGCTCTGCATGTTGGACCCGGCTCGCCGAGCCCCTGGCATCCGGCAGAGGGCAAGCGAGCTAAGAGAGCAATCCCATCCCCGCAGTCCCTCCGGCGCTGCTCGCATCAGGCCCACACCAGCAAACCCAGCAAACTGCCGGGAAACATCCTTTGGGACTGTTTTGGGCTTCCAGCAGATGAGATCTGCTTATTCTAACTCTTTTTTTTCCGCTCTCTACCCAGCTGCATCTTGTCATTTCTCCTGCCCGGTAACTCCAGCATTTATTCTTTGCTATATTGCTGTACTGGCACAGTCTTATATTCAAACTTTAGCTATTATCCACCCTTACAAGTGTGGTTAGATGCAAGCAGGATGCTTTTGTGTTATTTTTCTTTCTGATGAAGCATCTCCTCCTTTCTTTGGTCCACTCTGGAGCACAAAGGCTTGGATCTTGACAGCAGATTCCCTGGAAAAGCTGCAATTTCCCCAGCCTGCCGGCTGCGAGAAGGAGCAGATCCACCCAAGGTGTGCATAAAGATTGCTCAAACTGTTCCTGCTGCTCTTTTATAGCTGTAGTGCATCCCTACGTGCAACTGTTACCTGTTACTGCTCCAGCTGGCAGGCATATGGTCCCATGTGCTGCAGGACAGGAGCCTAGCTCTGTTCTCTGCTTTCTGGAGATGTGCAGTGCTCACTCTCATACCTGGCTGTGGGGATTCATCAGATTTAACTAGCAAATTAAAACAAAAACAACAACAACAACCTTCGAGTTTGAGATAAAGCAGATATTTCTGGCTTTGGGGGAGGGGAGCGGTCTCTCTTTGTTCTCAGGACAAATTACTGGTGTGCATCAGCAAAGTGATTTAAAGCGTGGTTCGACTCTCAAAAGATGCTGCGGGAGAGGAGCACCAGTTGTTATGCATTTGCTTCCTTTAACGGGTCAGAATTGGGCTGTACG